TTAGGCTGGAAGAAGCATTAGGACCTTCATGAATGCCACCTCCCTTAACACTTCTAGTCATTAAGCTGTTGTCACCTTATTTGTGTTCTTTAGTAAACCACAGTAAGTTTGTATTTCAGACCCTAGGAACCTGGACCCTCAAAGACCAGAGAAAGGCTCTAATTATATGAAGAATATGCTTGAGGGAGAGACTCTAGATGAATGAACTCCTCAGTTCTTTCTAGAAGTCAGGCATTAGGTGATTCTTAATTTGGGGCTCAGCTTTCCCTGCTTCTGTCAAAGAGTCTGGGCTCCTAATAATTCCCCTCACCTGGCTGGACCTGGTGGTCAGAGGTGGACATGGAGACAGAAGTGTGCATGAAGTGAGGTGCATGTGGTATGTGGGGCCCCAGAGGAGGAAAAGCTGTGTAGGCCACTGAGGGGGGGTTCTCCCACAATGCCAAGCTCATGTCAGGCCCATCCCATGCCCTGCACCCCCTCGGTGGGCACACAGTGCATTGTATGCATGAGCATCTCATCCTCACCTCACACTGTGGTCACAAGCCACCCTCCCAAGCCATCCTCAAACCCCATCTCATGCCACTGCCCCCCCCCCCCCCATGCACTCAGCCTGCACTGCACCAGACATTCAGGCCACGGGTTCCTAGAACAGGAGCCAAACCTGTCTTGTCCCCTGTAGAATCCCCTGCTTCTGACAGAGGCAACTGTCCCATAGAAAGTGCTCAATAATGATTTGTTCTCTCTGCCTGGAACCTTCTGTCCCAAATGGGTACATGCCTCACTCCCAAACTTCCTTTACCTCTTTACTCAAATGTCACCTTGTCAACCTGACCGCTCTAATTCTGCAACCGGGCCTGCCCTGGCCCCCAGGTCCTGCTCACCCTGCTCGGATTTTAATATTTCCCCTCTGCACCGCTCACCTTCTAACATACTCCATAATTTACTTCTTAATGTGTCTATTGCTGACTACGGGTCTTGCCTGGTACGATGTCTGCTCCACCAGGGCAGGGGACTTTGTCTGTTTTTTTTCTTTGCTATGTTCCCAGCACCTAGCATATAGAACAGGAACATGGTGAGTATCTGCTGAATAAGTGAATAACTCAGAGAGGACAATGACTGTGGGCATACGCCCCCTCCCCGCTCCCCCCCCCGCCCCCGCCCCCCCCCCCCCCTGCGCCGGGGCACACAGATGCTCCTGTACGCTGGCCTAGGGCTGGTATACGGCTGTCTGTTCTCTCCCTGTTCCCTCCCTGTCCATGGGGGCTCCTTTTCTCACTCCACTTTATCTACTGGGCTCCCAAGCCCTGCTTGTAAGTAGAAGGCTGGGGATTCCTCTAGAGTGGGATGTGTGGCCATCTGTGAAGAATCTCTGGGACCCTGGCCCCAAATCTGGGGCCACATCCAACCAACCAGACTGGCCCCAGGGCAGTATTCATGCCCAAGTGGTAGGCAGATTCCGGCTCTGCCAGGGAGCAAGGTTGGCAGGGGACAGCACTGGGGCGATCAGGGTGGATCCAGGGACAGGAAAGGAAAGACTGGGGACAGAGAGGGGACCTAGAGCTGGCCCTGCCCCACCTGGCCTGCTCATGTTTTCACCCTGGGGTCCTGTGCCACCCCCCAACTCCCAGCCAACTATGCAGCCTAGGCCAGTGACAGGGAGAGGACATGGGTCCAGCCTGGGCAGGGCCAGGGTGCCTGAAGACCAGGGCAGGTGCAGGCTAGATCGGGTTTCCAAAGGCTATATATAGAGAGAGAGAGAGGCTGCCGGGAGCCCTGGGGCCGGCCACTCCCTGAGGGTGCAACGCTAAGGGGCCCTGCCAGACCTGCATTCCTGCCCAGGGCCAACTCTCCATTTATAGCCCCAGGCAGGCAGGCAAGGGAGCTGAAGGGGGTGGAATGGACAGGGTGGAGGGAGAAAAGCCTAGGGAGCCCTCCTTTCCCATCTGCTGTCAAACGAGCTCCTCATTGTGGAGACCAGAGAACCGAGGGCCAGGGTGAGGCGTGCACTTGCCCACCAGTCTGCTCAGCCCTGAGTTGGAGGGAGAGGTGCTGGGGGATGCCCCCTCCTGGAGGTCCCTCGGCCCATCGCCCCTGGCTTCTCCCAAAACAAGTCCGGCACTTGTGTCCCCAAGGGGCACCCTTGACTAGACTCTACACCTATAAGAGTTTGGACTCTTTCCACTTCCAAATTTGTCCTTTTCCCCCTCTCTGGCCCCAACCCAGCACTAGGATTGAAAAAGGGCACCAGCTCCCAGAGCAGACACACTTCTCCCTGCTCTTTCAGCAACGGGGATGGAATGGTGGTGTTGGCAAACTTGTCGCCAAAGATGTGGTGTCACCACAAGGAGAGTGACCCTGGTCAGGCATGGGTCCCCACCTGGGAGGCCTGTAACAGCCACTGAGTCCAGTGATTCCCAAACTCTTCAAGCCGCAGGAGTCTTGTACCAAACTAAATCCTACTTGGAACTCTAATAGAAAATTGACAGCATGCCACCGGGCTGTGTGTGCTTCCTAGTTACGGAAGAAGATGAAGCTCCAACGTGAGTTTAAAACTGTCAAAGCAGTTTAGATGTCTAAGCCACAAGTGATAATATATTAAATGTTTGGTAAGTCTGAACATACAACATTTACTTATCCTAAAGGCACCTTGATGATGACCCCAAGGTGGTTTTGGTGAATGCAAAACACAAAATGCAAAGTGCAAAATGCAAATCTTTTAAGTCTTAGCATTAAGTCTTGCTTGCTTAGGCTTGAGAAAAATTTATATTTGCATGGACAAGTGATTTGAGGAGCTCACCTGGAAATCTCAGGGTACTCTATCATCAAACGGTTGATTCATTCATTGATTCATCCAACGAATATTTATTGAGAACCTACTGTGTTCCAGGCACTCTGCTGCTTGCTGATGTTGCAACAAGTAGGAAGAAATATGTGTTTCGATCTAAATCACTAATACAACAATTATTTGCATTTCTCATAATGAGCGTATAAGACAAATGAAAAGATACAAGCTTCTAGTAAGTGCCAAATCTATAGTACGCTATTAAGATATTGCAGCAGGGCATGTGTAATTGTTCAACAGGCCCTGAGTCTTACCTGGGCAGAGCAAGGGTGACCCAGCATGTATGTTCAATAGTGTACGTGACTGTCTAGCTTAGAAGAGGTACAACCATCCTCATTAATGACATATTTCACGGTATTCAAATATATGCATAGAGATTCAAAGGGCAGGAGGCCACCCATTCATTCATTCCACATTTATCAAGTTCTTACTATGTGGCAGCCACTGTGATGATTTCTGGAGATGCTGTGGTGAACAAAACGTTTTTGCCTTCCTGAGGCTATATCCATCAATGAGTGAATTAAGAAGATAAGTACAGAGTGGCCGTGTGAAGAAGGAAATGAGCAGAGTGATGTGACCCAGCTACATTAGAGAAGATGGTCAGAGACATCCCCAGGAAGTGATGTTTGAGCTGAGATCTGAAATAGGAAAAGCAGCAATCGTGGGAGGAGCTGGGGCCAGGGCTATAAGCAGCAAGTGCAAGGCTCTGAGGCCAGATAGTGCTCTCGGTGTTGAAAGACAGGAAAGGAGCTTAGACTAGAATGGAGTGATCAAAAGGGATGGTGGCTCCAGAAGAAATCGGACAGATACTCTGAGGCCAACTCGTGTAGGACCTTACAAGCTAGTGTAAGGCGATGAGACTTTATTCTAAATGCAACCAAGAAGCTCTTAGGGAGTTTAAAGCAGGAAAGGGATATCATCTCATTTATGTGTTTAAAGGATTATCAGGCTGCTGTGTAGTGGACAGATTATGCTGGGGCAAGAGTGGAAGAAGTAAGGAGAGCAGCCAGGAAGCCATGGTGATCATCCATGCCGGGAGAGTGGCAGCTTAGTCCAGGATGGCAGCACTGGGGATGGAGAGACTCCAATGTCTCAGTGCACAGGGCTCCCCCCTGCCCAGACCTCCCCGTTGGAACTCCAGCCTCATAAAACCCCTGCCTACCTGATCTCTCCACCTGGATGTTGAACACCCATCTCAGATTTTGCCCCAGCTTGGACTCTTGATCTGCCACCTGCAAACCTGCTGTTCCCCAACTCTGTTCTGCCCCGAGTCATCCTCAACTCCTCTCTTGTCTCCCTGCCTACACCCAATCGTGAAAAATTCTTGTTGGCTCCATCTTCAAAATATATTTGGAATTTAATTACTTTCCACCATCCCTACTGCTGGTACCCAAATCTAAATCACCATCACCACTTACTTGGATCATTACAATAGTCTCCTAATGGTCTCCCTGCTTCTGCCTTTGCTCTCCATAACCTGTATGCTCTTGTTAAAATGTAAGTCAAACAGTAACATTCTTCTCTTCCACTCAAGCTCTCCAGCGGCTTTCCATCTCAGAATTCAAATCCTTTGTCCCTTTCTGACCCCATCTCCTACAACTCTCCCACTTGCTCATTCTGCAGCTGACATACCAGCCTCCTTGCTGTACTTTAAATATGACACAATCTTGCCTCAGGACCTTTGCACATGCTCTTCCTTCTATCTGATTCCAGATATCTGCTTTTGCCCTCCCTTCATTCTGGTCTCGCTCAAATGTAATCATCTCAGAGAGGCTTTCCCAGACCACTCCATATAATGAAATAATCTCCATCGCTTTTCCCGTTTGCTTTATTTTTCTTCATAGAACTTAAAACTTCCTGACATCACATATTTTTGGCTTATTTGTTTATTACCTGTCTCCCTACCCTACAATGCAAACACCACAAGAGCAGAGTCTCAGTGTTATTCATTGCTGTATCCCCCAACACCTAGACCAATACCTGGCACATAATGGATGCTCCATACTATGTGTTGAATGAATACATGAAGGTGGTGTTATAGAGTGAAGGGAGGTGACCACATCAGGAAGGAGACCTTCAGCACTACTAGTGGCAGAGAAGTGAAGAAGGCAGGGTTCCAAAAGAGTCTGATAGGTTTGGTGGGAAGAAAGAGCTTCCCAGGGTCCAGGGAGCCAGTTAGGACAGCTTCCTGAAGTTAGTGGGAAAGGCACAATGGTAACTCTTGCTTCTATCTGTAGGCGCTGGGGGGGAGAGACCCCTGTAAGGGTATCTCATCCAAGGGAGACCTCTAGCCAGAACGCTGATAGGAAGATTTGGACTAGAGATTTAAGAAGAGGCTGAGAGGCATTCTGGGGGTGGGGGTACCCAGGGCTTGTGAAGGAGCCAGAGGTCCCATGAGGTGGTTGCCTCCTCCTTCTAGTCCCAGTCTTTCCAGTGGGCTTGCTGGAAAGAAATGCAGCTCAGACTTCAGCAGAAGCTAAGCCCTGACATTACATGGGCCTCTGTCAGGGCTCAGTGCCCCAGCCAACAGCTGGGAAGACAGCAGGGAGCACAGAGTCCAGTCTGTGCCAACGACAGAAGCAAGCCCTCTTGATAATATCGCCTTGCATCTCGGACTGAGGGCCTCCACATCTTTGGTCTCTTTCGATTCTCACCACCATCACAATCACTCCAAGAAATCGCTCTTATTATCCCCAAATTTACAAAGTGGGGAAACTGAGGCTTGGAAGGCGATATGACTTCGGCAAAATCACCCAGGAAGCTGTGGGATCTGGACTCGAACTTAGATCATTGGTCTGCACACTCTACTCTCAAAAGATCCCACTCTGAAATGGGGTTCTCACGCTGAGTCTGGGCTTTCGAGGCCTTTGAGCAATGAACTTCACTGGTGCCCCGCTGTGCGCAAGAAGGAGGGAAAAACAGCAGTTTTCTTTCCAGCCGAAGACACATCTCCACCCGGACCCACACAGGACACTCCGCTGCGGAAACACACAGGTCGAGTTAGGCAGGAGTTCACTTTCCTCCCTCCGGGCCGGGGCGGGACCTGGGCTTGGAGAGACTGGCGAGAAGCTTTAGCAGCCATTCTCCTCTTCTGCAGAAATGCGGCTGCGTTTCTAAGCGTCCAGAGAAGGTGGGGTGGGCCCACGGCCCTCTGAGCCACTCCCGGGTAGGAACTGGCCGAGTGACGTGGCCGCCACGTCCAGTTTGTCTCAGGTTCTTCCACTTAGACTCTAATTCTCACTGCAGGTTTCTTTGCCTCTGACTCTTGCTTTCTGCTCTCTGTCTCTGTCTCTTGGCTGTCTCTCTCACTGTCTCACTATCTCAGCTCTGAGTGTGTCTCTGCCCTGTTGCCATGGGTCTCTCTCTCTAAATCTCTCGCGATCTGTTTTCTACTCCCACCCTGCACCTAGGTCCCCCGTAAATCAGAGGACAGAGGGAGACCCAAAGTCAGCTTGGAGTTGAGCGCGCGCGGCCAACATTTCCCGAGGACATAGGACGAGTACGGTGCTGGAGAGGTTTGGAGCGAGTGTGCCCCGGAGCCAAGTGCAGCCGCGTTGGGCTGCCGGCCTCTGCCTTCCTCCCAGCCTAGGGAGGGGTCGGAGCGCGCGCGCGCGCGCGGGGCTCGAGGGGTAGGGGGCTGGCCAGTCTCTTGCCCCAGCGGCCACCCTGGGGATCCCAAGCTCCTCCCCACCTTGTTTCTATTGGCCTCGGGCGCCCCCGCCCCCAGCCGCCCGCTCGGGCTCTGGGGCCCTTAAGCTACTACCGGATAAATAGCCCCGGGCGCCTCGCGTGACGATAGGGGTGGGGAAGCCCCGGGGCGCTGCCGCCGCTTTCCCATCAGGCCGGAGAGGACGGGGCAGAGCGGGGGGGGGGGGGGAAGTGGGGTGTACATTCAGACCCCCGGTACTTTACTACCGCACGGCCAAGACTGCAGAGAGGCAGAAAGTTTCGGGCAAGCCCTACCGAAGCTAGGACTGCGCCACCCCCTGCAGGGACATGGAGCTGCTGTCGCCGCCACTCCGAGACGTAGACTTGACTGGCCCCGACGGCTCCCTCTGCAACTTTGCCTCCGCAGATGATTTCTATGATGACCCGTGTTTCGACTCCTCCGACCTGCGATTCTTCGAGGACCTGGACCCGCGCCTCGTGCACGTGGGCGCGCTCCTGAAGCCCGAGGAACACTCGCACTTCCCTGCGGTCGTGCACCCGGCGCCAGGCGCGCGCGAGGACGAGCATGTGCGCGCTCCCAGCGGGCACCACCAGGCTGGCCGCTGTCTGCTGTGGGCCTGCAAAGCGTGCAAGCGCAAGACCACGAACGCCGACCGCCGCAAGGCCGCCACCATGCGCGAGCGGCGCCGCCTGAGCAAAGTCAACGAGGCTTTCGAGACGCTCAAGCGCTGCACGTCCAGCAACCCGAACCAGCGGCTGCCCAAGGTGGAGATCCTGCGCAATGCCATTCGCTACATCGAAGGCCTGCAGGCGCTGCTGCGCGACCAGGACGCCGCGCCCCCTGGTGCCGCCGCTGCCTTCTACGCGCCTGGCCCGCTGCCCCCAGGCCGTGGCGGCGAACACTACAGTGGCGACTCAGACGCGTCCAGCCCGCGCTCCAACTGCTCCGACGGCATGGTAAGGCCAGGACCCCCAGCTAGAGAAGTGAGGGCAGCTCTTGGTAAATCTGGGACGTGTTTCCGAGCGCGGGAGCGGGCCCGCCAGAGGGAGGTTTGGGCTGGGAACCTTCCCGCGAGTGGACCCCGGTGTCCTGAGCAGCTGTCACTGGGGTGGCCTGGTGCCTTGGGGGCGCACGGGACAAATGCGAGCCACCCTACTGGGGGCGCTGTTAGAGCTCTGCTGCAGCGACATGAAGATCTGCTTTTCTCCACTTACCCTATTTACAAAATGCAGATTTATGCACCTAGGCGACTATCCACCCTCTAGTTGGCCCGGGAGGAGGCTGCAGTCAGCTCCTGTCCGCCCCGATCCCCCAACCAGGGCCCAGAACTCGTGGCTGAGACTGGGGAGTTGGGGCGGGGTGGCTACCGGGAGTGATGCTTTGGCCCCACGCGGTCCCCGAGCCTGACTCGGGCGCCCTTGACGTTTGCAGATGGACTACAGCGGCCCCCCGAGCGGTGCCCGGCGGCGGAACTGCTACGATGGCACCTACTACAGCGAGGCGCCGAGCGGTGCGTATTTGCGCCTCCTTCGCACGTTACCCCCTTTGAGCTGCCCTGGCCTCCCTCTATCTAGGACCACCCCCCCTCCCCGCCCCCAATCCTGGGAGACAGTACAGGGAATGAAATACTAAGCGTGCGGCTTCCTCCCTTTTCGCTCCGGACACTGCCTGGGTCCTCTCGGACTCGGGCAGGCTTTCAGTTTCCTGTCTGCCCCAAAGCACTGAGCCTGTAGGTGGGAGATTTGTTCGCTGCTCAACTGCATACTAACCTACCCCTCCCCGCGCAGAACCCAGGCCGGGGAAGAGTGCTGCGGTATCGAGCCTCGACTGCCTGTCCAGCATCGTGGAGCGCATCTCCACCGAGAGCCCCGCCGCGCCCGCGCTTCTGCTGGCGGATGCGCCGCCGGAGTCGTCTCCCGGCCCACAAGAAGAGGCCGCCCAGAGTGAGGTCGAGCGCGGCGCCCCCACCCCTTCCCCGGACGCCGCCCCGCAGTGCTCAGCGGGCGCAAACCCCAACCCGATCTACCAGGTGCTCTGAGGGGGTGGGCGGCCGCATGGGAGGGCTCCGCTGCCTGCGCGCCCGAGGGATGGTGCCCCTAGAGTCCCTCGCGCCCAAAAGATCGAGCTTAAATGCTAACCCCCACTCCCAACCGCGCTTTAAAAGCGACCCCTCCCGAGTTGGGAGAGGCGGGAGAACGGACGTGTGTTTCCACTCCCGCGCTCCACAGTAAGGACACAGTCCTTTTCCACGCAGCACCCTTCCCTGACACTCGCGGCGATGGTCTTTAGGTGTTCCTCCTTGAGGGGCCAGACCCTTCCTCTTCCTTACCCCGATTCCCTGGGCGGGGTGGGACCCGCGCAGATCTAAGCCCCGCCTCCGGGCGCCAGTGCGGCTGAAGGGGGCGTGGCCTCCCTCCCAGAGCCCCGGGCGGCTTTGCTCTTCCCCAGCGCCTGCGGGGCGCGCTCGCGTTCCGCGTGTAACAAGTGTAACAGTAAGCACTTCACCCCCTCCCCCAGTTCAGGACCACTTTTTGTAATACTTTTGTAATCTATTCCTGTAAATAAGAGTTGCTTTGCCAGAGCAGGTGCCCCTAGGGCTGTATTTATCTCTGAGGCATGGTGTGCGGTGCGACAGGGACTTTGTACGTTTATACGGCAGGTGGGTGAGCCGCAGGCGCTCGCTCAGGTGTTCGAAATAAAGACGCTAATTTATACCGCGGTGGCTCCGACTTTCCCTGGGGATGGGGCTAGGAAGGGAGGAAACCCCGAAAACTTGGGCCAGCTGAACCGCAGCGACCCCTGTAGGCGGAGGACGGATTGCAAGAAAGGAGCCTGGGGCGGGCTAGGAAGGGAGGGGTGCGTTTGGCTCCTTATCCGTGGGGGAGGTTCCTCTGACCCATCACTACACGCAGCAGGTCAGTGGTTCTTGTGTCAGGATGCATTTTAGAATGATTTGAGTAGTGAAAAAAAAAATCCATGCCTGCCCCACTCGCCAGAGATTCTGATTTAATATATCTGCCCCTGATATCCGGGGCCAGGTTTTGGTATTTTTCAAAAGCTCCCCTAAGAGATTCTAAAGTGCGTGCAAGTTTTAGAGTCACGCCCCTCGATACACACTGAGTGAACCCAGGCAGATGGACTACAGGCGTGGTGTCCAGAAGGAACACTGGGAATTCGTAGCTCTAGGTGCCACTCGGAAGCCTCATGGGTACAGAGGATGTGATAAGGTGCTCATAGCATTGTAAGGAAAAACTGAGTGTGAAGGGGCGATGTAAGCTGTATGACACTTACAGGCTCTCAGCGATAGGAGTACTCTTAAGGGGACCGCACAGAAGGCCAGACAGGCACAGACGTCTCTACTCAGCCTGGCACCCAGCACTTAGAGCATCCTGGCCCTGTCAGGGCAGTGCAAACCTGCATCATCTCAGGTTTGGTTAAAAATGCTCTGAGAGCAGAGGAGGGGACACTGATTTAGCCAGGGTGCTGGAGAGGACTTCCTGGAAGAGGTGCCATTTGAACTGTGTCTTGAGAAACAAGAAAAGACAACACACAATGCCCACAGACCCATGCACATGTGCACGCACACACACAGCTGGGAGGGCACCCCTGGAAGGATAGTCTGGTAAAAGTTCTTTCCCATTCCCATGCCACCCCAAGCCCGCCCCCAAACATACATATATTTGTCATCAGGACCTCAATGTCTCCTACATCTCACCCTTACAGACACTTTTTTCCTGAAAACCTTACAGGCCCACTTTCAAAGGCTCTGCTTGTCAAGTGGGATGACCCTGAGGACTGCAGGCAAGATGTGTTGCCAGCAAGAAGGACCTGTGCTCTCTGCTCTGGGGAAAGCCTCTGCTGTCCCCAGTACAGGGTCCCTGAAGAGCTGCCTAGAGCTACTCTGTTACTAATAATCCTCAACTTTTCCTCTGGCTTCCCCAGATGCACCTTGGGGTTCTTTACACTCCTTTGAGACCCTTTGGGGGCTCATTTATGAATTCATTCAATCAATAGTTGCCAGGTCCTATGCTGGGTGAAAACAGAGACCAATGGACAGTTCCTGACTGTGGAAAACACCAAGACATTTGGGGAGATTGGATCTCTTAACAGCTGGTTACATCACAGTGAATTAAGTGTTATAATGGGGGTGTATGTGGTAGAGGAACACAGTAGGAACAGAAGGTAGAGACAAGCAGTTAACCTCTAGTAAGAATCTTGAAGGGGTTGGTCATGGAAGGGGAGCCAAAGAAGGATACTCCAAGCTGAGGAAACAGAAGTGCAAAGACCCCAAAGTGACAGAAAGTAAACTGTGCCTTCATGGACCCAAAAGTGCTCACAGGGAGAGGCCAAAGGTGAGATGGGGAAAAGGCAGAGGCAGATCCTTAATGGACCTCATTTGGACTTTATTCTGAGGGCAATAGGGAGCCATAGAGGAATCTAACCAGTGGAAGGGTACAAATAAATCTGTATTTAGAAAAGCCAGTCTGGGCTGGCAAAATGGATAGGAGGGAACAAGACTTGAGACAGGAAGATTTGTCAGGAGGCCATGAGGGCTGCTCAGAGGAGACATGACATGGCCTGAACTGGGGCTGCGACTGGGATGTGAGAGAAAGCATAGGAATAGAGAGTTGTGCCAGATAAAATGTAGGTATTGACAGTACAGTGGAGAACTTCGAGGGCACAGTCCTTACCCTCACACAGCTTAAAATCCACCGGGGAGGGGCACCTGGGTGGCTCAGTCATTGAGTGTCTGCCTTCGGCTCAGGTCATGATCCCAGGGTCCTGGGATCGAGCCCCGCATCGGGCTCCCTGCTTGGTGGGAAGTCTGCTTCTTCCTCTCCCACTCCCCCTGCTTGTGTTGTCTCTCTCTGTCAAATAAATAAATAGAATTAAAAAAAAAAATCAACTGGGGAAATAGCCATTAGACAAAGAAATAAGTGAATAAATGGTGAGAAATACTATAAGGAAAGGTAAAGCGTGCAGTGAGATATGATAATGGGGTATAAGAAGGTGCAGAAAGGAGGATGCAGGATTTCTGCACTGAGGAAACCAATTACACGTATGAAGAAGGCCCAGGAGCTAGTGTGCAATTGGGAAAAATGTCCCTTCTTTCCTGAGGATGCTGCTCTGCACCAGGGTTCATAGCTAGGCAATCAGAGAGCAGGCTGGACTTCAGCCCCCACTGACCTTAGGCAGGTAAATTTGTTCAGTGAACAACATGCATAACTGTTCACAGAGCCTTGTGTATGGAGGCCCTAATGACGTGAGGGGAAAGGGGGAGCCAAGGCTGACTCAGGCTCTGGTTTGGTTCAGAGTGGACGGTAATGCCATTACAGAGATGGAGACATCAGGAGAAGAAGAAGCAGGTATGGGGAGAGATTTAGTCCAGGACACTTCCAGTTACAAGTGACAGAAACCCAGTTCAGACTAGCGTCACCCCCCAAGGGGTGTGTTAGAAGGACATGGGACAGTTCATATATGGAAGCAGCACTACAGGGACCATGGTATCCATGAGCTTTGACAGCTGGGACTGGAGCCTGGAGCCCCTCTTACTCTTCCACCATTCCCGGGCTTGCCTCTACTTAGTTTACCTAACTCTCTCCGAGTCCAATTGATTTTCTCCAGCAACTCAGGAATTACCTTGGATCTCACCATTAAACTCCAGTTTGAAAATTTCCAGAGAAGAACCCTCATTGGACTAGCTTAGGTCATGATCCAGGATTTGAACCCAGGCAGACAGACTCCAGGGATTGCACTCTTGGCTGCCTTGCCTTATACCTCTGCATGGGAAGGAAGGGGAGGGGACTGAGAGAAAGTCAGGAGGGAGGGGAACAGCTGGAGATTGGATCATTCCATGGATGATGGGGTTTGAGGTCCCCTCCTGGCCCATCTCTCACCTCAGTCCCCTGGATTTGGGGGTGGGAGGAGCGTCTAGTCGAGGCCAACTCCATTTGCAACGTAGATGAAATGACCCTTGTTCCTGGGGCCATTTTCACCTGGGCTGGATCTGCGGAAACATTGGGTCCATGTCTCCACACATGTGCTCATGCAACAGCACAGATGAACCCAGAGCATACCACCAGGGGCTGATGCACCTTGAAGGCGACGTGACAAACTGAGATTTTTCTCAGCATAAGCAAATTATTTCTAATCTGGTTTACAGAGCCTTCTTTACTTTCCCGAAGTTTTTATTGAGATGCAATTCACATACCATAAAATTCAGCCTCTTAAAGTGTCGAAATCAGTGGTTTGTGATATATTCACTACGTTGTACAATATCACCAGTACTGTCTAATCCAGAACATTTTCCTTACTCGCAAAAGAAACTCTTAACCCATTTGCAGTCACTCCCCACTCTTCCTCCTCCCTCAATCCTCTGGCAACCACGAATTATCTTCTGTTTCTATGGATGTGCCTATTCTGGACACTTCATGAGTGGAATCACACACTGTGTGGCCTTTTGTGTATGACTCTTTTCCCTTGGCATAATGTTTCCAAAATTCATCCATGTTGTAGCCTGTATCAGGACTTCATTCCTTTGTATAGCTAAATAATATTGCATTATATGGATACATCGTATTTTGTTTATCCACTTATCAGTTGATAGATATTTGGGTTGTTTCCATTTTTAGCTATTCTGAATAATACTGTTATGAACATTCAAGTACACATTTTTGTGTAAACATATGCTTTTAATTCTCTTGGGTATATACCTAAAAATGAAATTGCTGGGTATATCATAACTCTATGTTTAAATTTTTGAGGACCTGCCAAAGTCTTCCCCAAAGCAGCTGCACCATTTTACATTCCCATCAGCAGTGTATCAGGGTTCCAATTTCTCTACATCATCCACGACACTATTTCTGTTTGTCTTTTTATTCTAGCCACCCTAGTGGGTGTAAAGTGGTATCTCATTGTGGTTTTGATTTGCATTTCCCTAATGACTAATGATGTTGAGTATCTTTTCATGTGCTTATTGGCCATTTGTATTTCTTCTTTGGGGAAATGTCTATTCAAATCCTCTGCCCATCTTAAAATTAGATTACTTGTCTTTTGATTGTTGAGTTTTGAGTGTTCTCTCTATAATCCAGATACTAGACTCTTATCAAATATGTGATTTGCAGATATTTTCTCTCACTCTACAGGTTGTCTTTTCACATTCCTGACAGTGTCCATGGAAGCACAATTTTGTTTCATTTTGATGGAGTTCAGTTTATCTCTATTTTGTTGTTGTTGTTGCCTGCATTGTGGGCATTATGTCTACAAAACCATAACCTAAGCCAAGTAAGAGTATTATAGTTTTAGCTCCTACGTTTAGATATTTCATGTGTTTTTGGTTGATTTTTCTATATGGTGTAAAGAAGGGATCCAACTTCATTCTTTTGCGTGTAGATACCCTCTTGTCCCAGCACCTTCTGTTGAAAGGGCTATTCTTTTCCCCATGGAATTTTCTTGGCATCCTTGTCACAAATTAATTGACTATAAATGTATAAATGTTTATTTCTGGGCTTTCAGTTCTATTCCATTGATCTACATGCCTATCCTCATGCCAGTACCACACAGTGTTGATTACTGTAGCTTTGTAGTAAGTTCTGAAATGAGGGAGTGTGAGTCCTCTAACTTTGTTCTTCTTCAAGATCATTGTGGCTATTCTGGGTCCCCTGCATTTCATGAATGTATCTTTAAGTAGCCCTGTCTTGACAGTATTTTAAGT